ATAAAAAAAAAATTTTAAATTATTATTATTCTGTAAGTAATTGAGTGGGTTATGATAAAAAAATCACTCTGTATATATTAAATTAAATCTAATGTAATTTACTTTATTATGGTAAAAAAAAATTTCGGACTTTATTTTATCTTCATAGTGGAAACAGACATCAAAGTTAATAAAAAGAATACGATTTTTGTTAAAAATTCTTTTTTATATCTTTAACTTTATAATGCTATAACTTTTTGAAAGATGTATGGATCATTATAATTTTTCTTTTATAGATGCATGATGTCTTTACCTATCATTTTGTGTATTTTTTTTATAAATCTGACTTTTTTCCTGCCTACAGGGGGGGATTCAAAATTACAACTTTTTCACAAAAAATTTACTTTTTCAACTTAAATGTTGAAAGTGTACCGGAAAGTCTGACACTTTTATATATATCTTAAATTAAAGCTAACGTAATGTTCTATTATTGTGTGAAAATTCTCGATTTTATTTTTTACATTTTTAACATTATAATGCTATAACTTATTGAAAAGTGTATGGATCAATACAATTTTTTTATGAGAAATAATATTTTTAAAAAATCCCTTTTTCATTCGACATACTTTATCTTAATCAAAATATTAATAAGGAACTAGCAGATCATGTAGCTTTTGGAATAATACACCAATTTTTTTAAATTAAACACTATCTAAAGATTTGCATCGAAGCTTTTTTTTTTTTGACAGTGATTTTAGTCACTGTCAGATATCATTATTCTTGATCCAACTATGATACGTCACCACTATGCCGCGATCCCCTTGTGTTGGGTTTTTTTATTTTAATTTTTGAAATGATTTCGTGACTTCTGAAAAATTAATTTCTATATTAAATCAAAGTTATTTTAAACATACATTATTTTTAAGAGCAAACTGTATTTTCTAATTAAAGAATATTAAGAAATGTTAAATTTAATATTTATATTTTTAGTTGTCACACTTCTCGGAACATGGTAAAATAATTTTTATAGACTTATTTTGATATGTTTAAACCTCTTTAGTACTTATTGTCGTAATATGCCCAATATTTAGAATCTTACATTTATTAATTAAAAATGAATAATCTGTATTTTATATTACATGTATACAAACAAATAATTAATTTATCTGACATTACATTTACACTGCTGTACGCTAGTTATTATGTATGTTTATACATGTTCAATTGATAATTGTATACTATGCATCTTATCTTAAAATAATAATCATGTTATGTTCAATTTAATGCAATAAACTGAAAATCACTAAAACCGCTAACGACAATATTCCATGATGGTGGTAATTAAAAATAATATAAAAAGACTTAGTTCTGCTTCCACATACGTAAGCGATCAAGTTGCACTTTTGAAACTCTGAATTCAATGTAGAATTTAGAATTCTTTTGTCTAGTAAATTTTTCTCAAACTAGCCGCACCCCGTGCTGTCGTCACGTTTTAATATGATATTGAAGTATAATTTTATTTTGTTTAAACTTTATTTATTTATTCAAAAAGGAAACGGTATAAAATTTTCCTGTGTGCAAATTAGCACAATCTAAGAAAGAGTTTTGTACTTAATATTTTGACAATCAATGATATTTACGCAAACTATCTAAAAGAAGTAAGTAAATTCACATTAACCCAATTATTTAGAATTAATAATCTGAGTAAAGAACGATAAAAAAATTATCGATTTTTATAAATTGAGTTCTGGCAGTTTTTCTTCTAAATTCATTAGTTTTCTAAAAAAAATTTGAAAATACGTAATATTTCGTAAATTTACCGAAATTTGCATATATAAAATCTAATGTTTCATGCTAAAAATGTTTAAAATTAAATTTTACGAAATAAAAATAATAAGTAAACATTTCTTTGATCCGATCGTTTTATTGCTATAGCTGAAATAGCTCGATCATATTACTATTTTTATTAAATGTATGANTGCTATAGCTGAAATAGCTCAATCATATTACTATTTTTATTAAATGTATGAATTTTATTACTAGATTCTGTTAGTTATCATCTGATACATTACAACACTTATTGTGCAAGTACGGCGATAATACTATAGGACGACTGTATTACTGTATTGTTATTATTTTTTAATTATAAATAACTCTGGAAATGGTAAATTTATTACAAATCGCAATAGGTGTAGTAAACTCATACTTACATCACTTTAGTGGCTTACGTCTCGTATTAAGTTGAACTGCTTCCTATTGTGTTTTTCTTTTTGTGTACGTAAAATGTCTGTAATATTACAAAATGACAATAAAATATTTTTATTAGGGTCTTTGACTACTCAAATTTTAGGTTTAAATCCATTGAGGAAGTTCTAAAAGTTTTTTTTATAACCTTTGAAATGTTAAAACTACTTGTAAAAACCCAGCACAGGGGGGTCGCGGCACAGTGGTGACGTGGTATAGATGGATCAAGTATAATGATATCTGACAGTGATTAAAATCACTATAAAAAAAAAACGCGCTTCGATGCAAATCTTTAGATAGTGTTTAATTTTAAAAAATTGGTGGACTATTCCAAAAGCTACATTATCTGCTAGTTCATTATTAATATCCTAATTAAGATAAAGTATGTAGAATGAAAAAGGGATTATTAAAAAATATTATTTCTCATAAAAAAATTGTGTTGATCCATACACTTTTCAATAAGTTATAGCATTATAAAGTTAAAAATGTAAAAAATAAAATCGAGAATTTTCACACAATAATAGCATTCGGTAGCCATTTTCACCGTGAAGATAAAATAAAGTCCGAAATTTTTTTTTTCCATTATAAAGTATATTACATTAGCTTTAATTTAAGATATATATAAAAGTGTCAGACCTTCCGGAACACTTTCAAAAGTTAAGTTGAAAAAGTTCTACTTTCTATATGCATTTTTATGTTTTGAATCCCCCCTGTATTTAGGGAAATGGTCCGATTTAAAAAAACAGTATGTCGAATGAAAGATCTATATAAATACTACTTCTCATAAAAAAATTGTAATGATTCATACATTTTTCAAAAAGTTATAGCATAATAAAGTTAAAAATGGAAAATACAAAATCGAAAATTTTCACACAAAAATAGCATTCGGTAGCCATTTTCACCATGAAGATAAGATAAAGTCCGAAATTTTTTTTTTTCATGATAAAGCATATTACATTAGCTTTAATTTAAGATATATATAAAAGTGTCAGACCTTCCGGAACATTTTCAAAATTTAAGTTAAAAAAATTAATTTTTTGTGAAAAAGTTGTCATTTTAAATCCCCTCCTGTAACCAAGTAAAGGGTCACATATAAAAAAAAGAATGTACCAAATGAAAGGTAATGATATTATGCATTAATATAAAAAAAATTTATATTGATTTGGTTATTTTTAAAAAAGTTATAGCAATTTTAAGTAAAAAAAATTGAAAAAAT